GACAATGGTAAGCAAAAATTAATTCACTTATAAGCATAAATAAACAAAAAAACCCTAGTAACAACAAAAGTAGCTCACCTTTTCAGCTTCTAGGAGTAGAAAATTAAATAAGGGATCGCGGCAGCAAAAAGAAAAACAGAGGAAAAAAGAATGGGAGAAAAAAAATCGCCTCATCACTCTGCGATCAGCTGATTGTGCGTGGGTCCTAGAACGAATAATAGCAATCTGTATTGTCTCGACACTAGTCTAACGTGACACCGATCGAGGGGCGGGAAAGCGAACTACGGCAGCAACGGGGCTTCCACTATGCCCTAAGCGCCGAGATTGTGGGAGCGAGAGGGGCTCTTTTACCACCCATTGGGGGCGCTGAGTATTCCTAAAGGAAGAACTCAGTATACCTTTTTTATCGTGAACCGTGCCTTTAAGCACTCAATATTTTAAGAACCTCAAACGATGGTGCTCCGAAATATTGCATAGTAGACATCGTATTCTTACATTAGTGATGCTTGTTTTTGGCACCGCGAATAATGCCCACAACACAAACATTGAAGAAAAGTTTGCAACGGCTGCAACTGTTCATTCCTAAGAACATTTTCACGTCATCTCGATACTTCCGATATCTGTTAGAGGGAATGACCACCGCTTCTAGAGATGCCTCCTGAAATTTCTGGTGCCGGTACCCTATGAATGGCCCCACCCAACTTAGGGTCAGCCTTTCCTCCAACTAAAAGTGATTTCATACTTACAGAGTTCCGCTTCGTTTTTCGGGGCATTAATCGTGTAAATTAATACAAATATGTTTCCGACCTCACGGGCCCCGGAGAATACGATTGTGCCAAAAGTGAGAAGCGCTTTTCACGCGTTTCTTTATGGAAAGCCCGAAAACCCCTGTCTACTTCACTGCCGAAGATCACAGACCAACCGCGATGATTTGATATTTTCTGACCCTTTTTCCCAGTTATCGAATCTTAGCAAGATGGCTGTAGCCTAAGCGAGAAAATTCAAGACGGAAGCTTCGAATGATAAAAAACTCTCGAGGGGGGAGGGCGAGCCTCTGCAAAACTAAGCTACCTGAACGTATTTTCTTCGGGTTATTTTTGAGCATTTCGGCTTATGAAACCCAATCAGCGGGAACTGGGATGTACGTCATTCATCAAATATTGCAATACCCGTAAAATGGCCGCTATTAATATTTTCTAATTCGACTGACATCATTCTTGCCACTATGACGTCGAGTCTTGCGTCAATCTTAAAAAAATTAGATGAACGGTATGCAAAGGGATGTTAGTGTCATGGCAAAAACCCCCTATAAACTAACCATTGAGATCTATTATTTGCCACAACAATTATTCCGGCTATGCTCCGATGGATTGAAAATATGTTGATTTGGCTGAAGCTGATTTTTAGTAGCCAAGTAACCAAAGTGAGCATCGTTGGAATCGGTACGTAATTGCCCACGGTTGGGTTATGAATATCTACCATCATAGTAAAAGCGTGGATCACAGGAACTAGAGAAAGATCTTCTTCTTCATTGTAGAATAGGTATTGGCTCAGGTGTACGTCGAGTGCGCAGAAAAATGATAGACCAAAGAGGAAAGGTTGAGAGAATAAGATGGATGACGCACGACCTCTACATTCAGCTACAAAATACAGATTAAAGCAAGTGGCATTACGTGCATGTTGTAGGTCCTCTGTCAGTTCATGTCGCACCCCCTTCTACAAAACCATAACCTTTGGAATTTGTTTCAAAGGTCTTGCCAAAGTTGATGATGTTAAAGATGCCAAAGATGTTTCCCTAATTGTCCTCCTTTCGAGCGAGTCATGCTTTCTGAGTTCGCTTTCACGGTTGTCTCTGAATGTTCGTTGCCCTTCGAACGACATGCGATCACGACCAAGCTAATTTCAAGGCTTCACGAAGCAAACACTGGGATACAATTCTGTACGGATTTTTTGACCATATCCTCTGCTAAGGCGAGGTTGATGCGTGTATAGCTCCCGGTCCTGATAGCTGTGCCGAGCGGCTCGTCTTGAACTCGTGAAGCATAACATTACAAAAATTGCGCTCATCCATATTAACGTTCTTACTGATATATGTTGGGATTGCTCAGAGAATACAGAAAAGTTGTGAAACGCGATGCAGCATTTGATCCGAAAATAGCTTCACGGTCTGCAAAAAGCTAGTACTATTTGAAGAGTTGAGCTAGCAGGAACGGCATAGGATGATGACGCGTAGCATCGTCCGATCCGGGGATAAAATCCGAATTCGAGGTCCAACCACAGCTGGGGAGGCCTGTCGCTATGTGGGCCAAGTTTGAGTGAGGGGAACATATCAAAGGAGTTCGATTAACTGAGAAAAAACTCTCCTCTGAACCGACGCGTGCTGACGGAGTCGTTTTTTTTCCGCCAGCAACGGCATGTGAACTCGCTAACAAACCCTTGAGCCTGAGTTATAACCATGGAACTATCAAAATTGCCACGAATTTCAGTAAAAAGATACACGCCAAGATTCGGAAGCCTGATCCTTCCCAAATGGGAGCTAGAATTGTTATTTTCGGCTGAATGGAAACATGCGTGGGAAACGAAGTAGATCCTTTTCATAATACTTCTGGATGAGTTCTGAAACAAGACTGCTGCGAGCTTCACAGAAAATGATCGATCAAGGGCCCCGAGATCGAATAATGACTATATGCCTTTACCAAACTAGTCTATTGCTGTTTACGTAAAACTCGAAGCCACCAAGTTTATATGGCATTTCAAATCTCAATAAGCCTTCTAAACTACGACCGCTTTTAAAGGCACAGTTCAAAATAAAAAGTTCTCTGAGATTGCCTTACAGTATGAATTCGAGGCTCCCGCTTATACCATACTCACCGCTATAAGGTCGAAAAACGTTCTGGATAGGGCACATTAAGGGGCCAGAAATTGTAACGTGTGAATGCCATACCCCTCGTGGACGAGCCTCATCGGCTTTGTAGAGGCTGCACTATCTGAAGAGATTCCCATGCAGGAAGTTCAAACAACTTGTCAAACCCATGGCGACAGTGAAAGGCAGTTTCGGACAATTTCGGCTCAATGCAGATATGTCTTTGAGCAATGCGAGATAGTTAAATCTCGTCCAGACACCCCTTACATGCCACTACCATCACGGCGAACTCGTACGACTTCCACTTTCACTACTTTCAAATATCCTTGAAGTAGGGGGATTTTCTCGCCTTCGTCGCCACCGATGTACTACTCTACATCTACCTTAAAGGTACCTCAAAATTATCGTGAACTGTGCCTTTAAAGTTAACTACTCCCTCCCCAACTCAGACAATGCACAAGCATTGATTGAAAAGCTTTCCAGAGCACATTGTGTTGGATGGCTACAACTGGAATGGTGTGCGGATATGGTATAGAGACGGTAGAACTCGCGTCCTATCGTCCCTTATTTGTAAGACTGCGTTCTTTCTTTTCCTTTGCGTTTTCTTCATATTTAATCATGGAAAAAATCGATCGCCGTCACTTCTACTACACGTCTTGCAGCAATTTTTCCAAAATTCATTAGTATAGGGCTGAAATTGATAAATAATGGACCATCATCTCTAAAGAATGTCATAGTATGAAATTCGTTCAAATGATCGCTAATCATAAGTAGGCAAGCCCAAAATAACTCCTGAAGCCTGAAACGGTACCATTGTTTAGGAGGGAAAGCATCCGATTTCACACTATTCTATTTCCTGATTGATCCCGAGTTCGGGCTTGTGGGGGCCGCTAGATTGTGGTTTTCGCTGTGGAAGATTGATCAGCCATTATTCCACCAGATGAACATGTTGCTCGATTGGTGAATGTCATGCCGTCTACGGCCGACTTCCCTTACCTCCAGCAACAGTTGCATTGCGGATCGCCGCAGCGGTGGGCTACAGAAACAGTTTGGACTTTGCGGCCCATTTTATTACTGTTCTGCATGCCCTAGGTATTCAGCTGTTCTACACGTTCACAGTGCTCCTGTCACACGATGACCACGATTATAAGCCTCGTCTACAAGGAAAGATAAGATCGGTCATTGGGACAATAATACCTGAAGACCTGGACGGATTGGGAATAAGAAAAGTGGGATGTTATAGGCAGCTATGAGGATGTAGAGGCAAGAGGACGTTGAATGATGGCGAAGACGATGGGCCGTATCGGAAATTGATGGCCGACGCAGACAGAACGACGTCCGATCGACTTGTTGTGGCATTCGTCTCGCTCTTTGCCGATCTGTCGTCATACGGTGCCTTCACAGCGGGACCAGGGCGAAAGCTGTGGTCTCGCACGGAAGTACTGGTCAAAACTCGAACAGACGAAAAGAATTGGTCAGTTTGTTGGCAGCATCACAACGACCAAGACATCAATTTGGCAATCGTGCTTAAATCATAATCTGCAGCCTCGCCATTTCGATTTTTTCCCAAAGTCCCAGCTTGAGAATTCTCCACAGTCAGAAGTGAAAGAGCATGAATACCTTCTCACACTAAAATTCGCAGAGTTTTTCTTCGCTAGATTACGATTTCGTTGGCTTTCATGTTCTTGTTCTTATCAAAGATATTCCATCACAAATGCTGTTGTTAAGGAGCACCTCAAGAACCACAGTGAGCCGGTTGCTCAATGCGCATCGGAGAAGTACTTCGAGAAACTCGATGAGGAGGAAGAAGAAGACTACTATGATGAAGGTGGCAACATTATAGACCGAAATGCTCGTAAGATGGTGCCCAAATCGCGATCATTCCCTTGAAATATTCTGGCCCTTGCGGCAAATGTATTCTGCTATTCAAAAGTTTCAGAAAGGAATTGCCATTGCCAAATTTCCATTGGCAGGTCCTCGGACTGTCTGAGCGTACGAAGCATACCTACAGCGAGAGTGGTATGGAGGTCCTGGGGACGCATGAGCGTCCCAATCGAAATCAGAGAAACTTAATGTCTGAGGACCTCTCACAGCCTCGCTTGTGGCTTGAGCCATTAAAAACTGTAGTGGTATGCATAGTTTCGGAAAAATATTCCTACAAAGGGTGTTCCAGGAACCAAACCCAAGGGGCCTCAACAGCGGACAACCACCGTGGGTAGCTCTATATAAAACACATAATTCAAAGCAGTCATTCGATATTCAAACCCAATAATTCAGGGGTCAGATATAGAATATGAAGATAGAAAACCGCGAACCAGAGTTGTCATGTGGTATGAGCTATTTCCGTAGGCTCCTAACAATTTATATTTTTTCGGCCGTCGAACAATCTCAGTATTCAAGCCGTCTCTTTCAGGAATGAGACTGCGAGGATCCTCTCCATCCTCGGTTTTATAGCCTGTCTACTACTCTTCCTACAAATAATTGTACTTGCTATGTCTGCCAAATTGGTTAGGCGACAAGCATTCAGAGGTTGAGATGGAAACCGGTGTTTTTAGACGAATCTGTTAATAATGTACGAGTTTATTGTCAAAGCTATTGTCGATTGAAATTCGATTAAAGTTAAATTGAATTCTGTTCTTGAAGAATCATATATTTCTGCTCTGACGTAAGGAGAGCCCTTGGACGTCAGTTTCAGTACTGAAGCAGTACAGTAGCAGTACAAGCAGTACATCTTCGGCTAATAAGATTTCCATTTTGTCACCTTCTCTGCACAGTGCAAGTTTCTTGAGGCGTTTCTTGGAGATTTCCGTTTACAAACAGTACGTGACAACAAACTATTAATATCATGCTAGACTGGATTCTACGAGTTATTTGTGTTCGTCTGGGATGGCAGGTAAATCATTACAGATTTTTTTCATTTTGCTTCATGAGCGCTTGTGCATCAATCAGAGGAGGAAGTGAATTAGTTGAAGGACTCGTTTGGCTCATTAACTGTGGCATTGTTTTTTTGAGTTTGTTCAAACGATTACTATCCCGATGAGATCCACTTGCGCACAATCGCGTAAAAGGCTGGTTACAATAAGTTGAAAGGGCAAAAGGTTGCCTTATAATGTCACCGTGGATCACGGCTAGTTATTCGCTTTTTGAACAGCAGTCGGATCGCCGCAACGCAGGCTCTCCTCCTTCCTGTGTCATCATCCTATCCCGAGAAAAGTTGAACTGACGAATTTTCGCCCTTTTTCAAAGTTTATAGTTTTTAGTTTTTTTCGCAGTCTATCTGAGTGAGAGTATAAAACTGAAACAGAGCTCGAAATCCTTCTCTGACGCAACAAAATTGAAAGCTTTCCTCATTTTTTGATAATGTTGTATTAGTCCAACTCTCCACTCCTTTTTAGAAACGAATTACAGTTTCTCGCACACGAAATTCGACACAGGACTAACAGGGCAGTGCAAATGGTCTTTTGCTCTCTTTCTTAGAAATAAATGCCCATCAAAAATCCAACTGCTAGACAATCAAAGTTGATGCTGTGGAGATGTTCTGAAGGATGATAGCACCGTTGTCAGATGTTCTTTATCAATGGACCCTTTGCTTTGCAGAGATCATTAGTTGAGAATTCCAGATTACTGGCGGTCGATCAAGTTTTGTCGCAAATGGTATCAAGCAAAGAAAATCTTCCATTGAATCACAAACCTTGCTGGGTAGCGGTCGTAATCTGATAGTAAGAAATGAACAATGTTCTAATCTGCTCAGCGTAGTGCCGCTAATGAGTCCCTATCACTCATCTCATCGAATGAAACATACTGAACAGCCAAAGCTACATTGTAAATACCGGAGGGTTAGAATTTTGATCGGTAGGTGGCCTCTCTTAGGTCCCTTATTTCCTCTTATCAGTTATGATCGGTTCTTGTCACCGAGCACCTACGTTCCCGTCATATCCTACATCACTTACTAAAATGCTGAGGTTATCCTACCACATTTCAACGCTCTAGGTTCGCGTAAACAGGAGTTATTAATTCGCGGCCCAATTTTTGTTGCGCACGCATCGCCACCTGTGCACGGAGTCAAGTCCTGCCACCAACATAAGTGTTCCCATCCTGCTCCCCGTACTCCTATCAAGTTTGAAAGCTCTCGGTCCACGGGGACAGGAGTTATGAATTTCCGATCTGACACACACACTGACACACACACTAACAAACACACACACAAACACACCGACAAACCAAGAGACACACTTAGCGAATTATCCTACTTTATATAAATCGCTAAGCGTGTCTGTTGGTGTGTTGGTGTGTGTGTCGGTGTGTGTGTGTCTGACCGGAATTTCATAACTCCTGTCCCCGTGGACCTAGA